TGTATGTCAAGAAATCTACATAGTGTTCTTTGCTATGATTCACCATGGTGTATTTCAAACGGAGAGGTAGATATTTGATATCCATCAATTGCTGCCCCTTCGCCTAGACCTTGGCATAAAGTGGCTCAACACCATATCTTAGACCCTCTCTAACCCTCCGCCCATCATTATCACACACCCGCTCGTCAGCCCCATACTCTAGAAGTAACTCCACACAATCTGCATGTTCTTCCCTCACAGCATAATGTATCGCTGTCCATCCATGGAATCCCTGTCTATTGACGTCGGCGCCGGATTCAAGAAAAAGTCTCAGAATATCTACATATCCGTACCGAGAAGCCAGGTGCAACGGCGTCCATATATGCCGATCCGGTACATCGACCGTTGCCCCCGCTTGCAGTAACTGTCGGACACTGTTGAGGTTATTCTGGCGCACTGCGGTATGGAGGGCCGCTTCACCATTGTATTTCTGTTGGTCGACTGGTGCTCCGGCGCATAAGAGCCTGGGGAGTAGCGCCTTGGTGGGACAGCTTGTTGATACAGCTCCATGGAGATGGTATCTGGTTTTACGGCGGATCTCGTGGACAAGGTACCTGTCCATATAAGGTGTCAAGAAAGTGGAAAATCTTCGATTGATGAGTCGGAGATTGACAAGGTCATTCTTGGTGCATAGCTTAGTTTTCGCAGTTAGATATCTGTGTATTTGGCATGGTTCCGTTTGGTTGTGGGGACTGATTGACTGACCTGGACTAGACGGTGCAGGATATCAACGGGTATATCATCTAGGGATACCATATTTAGTGTTGATGGGCTGTACGTCTTCGTTCTTGCTGTCTTCTGGGTGTTATTTTGAGAAACTTGGTATTTTGGCCAGCAAGTCTGGATAAGACAACTTTTGAAGATACAGATCTCGAGTCACTGAAGCAAGCCTCGTACTTGGGCTGCTAGATACTTCTGGTAAATAAGAACAGGTTGGTCCCCACGTTGGGTTTGTCAGCTGTGTTGCGGTGTAGACGTCCATCAGGTGCGCCCTAATTATTACCCATTCGGGACATTGATAGAGACCATTCTGCTGTCCATGAGCCATTGTACAGTCATTTCAAGTACCGGCTTTACACGATTACTTAAACTTCTAAGCAGTTAAATATATGCACTCCCATAGACATAGTCATCAAAACCGTTCAATATCAATCAGCATCTCCAAACTGGACGGTTCTGAGACTCACGCCGTTCGATCCGGCAGACTCCGGCTTGCCTATCACGGAAGCCCTAATAGAACCAGTCAATATACCCTCTCCACCTCCCATGCTATAACGCATGTCTAACATAAACGACGGAGGTCTCCCTAGCCACGACCTCCTACTCACTCTCCGCCATCCACAATTGCTAGACCCAGCTAACAACACGTTCTCATCATCCTATATCCAAAAGCCTTTGATGCGTGGTGCAGACATCCGGCTACATGCTGCCAAGAGGTATATCAATAGACATGGTGGCATTCCCCTGTTTTACTTGAACTAAGTTATGGGGGCGATATCGGTAATCCGGATGTATGCAAGGCCTTGTCATTCAGCCAGAACGCAATGGGCACTGTCCCCGGTCCCTTTTCTTGTTGGCTTGCGCACCGCGGCGGGAAAACCATGCATCTGCGGGCTCTTGCTGCGGCTCGCAATGCCCGTATCCAGGCCGAAACCCTCAACAGTCTGCTAGTTATCCAGGTAACTTTGGCCATCTGCAGCGCGGTGTTGCGGTTAAGTAGTATCGCGTTAGCGTAGGTGGTGAAGCGATGTCCCTGCGACTGAGACACATAAGGCGACGTCTTGAGAAGTGCGCGAAGAGGGTGAGGTCTATGATGATTTGATTCAGTTAATTGTAGGCATCGACGATGTGGAGTATCTGAAAGAGGATGTGCTGTGTGTCTTGGAAGTGGTGCCTGGACAAATTAACAGAGACAAGCAGGGCTTTCCGAGTGCATCTAAGGTCTAAAATTAAAACGAACTAGATATTTTGTGTCGATAAAGAAACTCTGTTAACATACATCATAACTGTGTCCAAAGTGGGTGGAATACAATACACCAGCATGTCACTGGCAGGATAAGAATCCAGATCAAGTCATACAGGCATGTCAATAGACGGCGCCTCCACAAACAGAAAAACAAGGTCATCACTGTCGATACAATAACTCCAGTACAGACCAGAACTAACATGGGATCAGGATAATCAACCGTGGAATGAGTGTGGACGTCCCATGGGACAACAGCACAGTACCTCGGGCGCTCAACGTAAGAAGCATGAGGCAACGCGTGCAAAAGAAAAATATTCACCGTTCGTCGTACACCTTCATAGAACAAAAACCAGACAGGGTATGCCACGCCACGCTATGCGAGTCCAGAAGGAAAAAAACAGAGAGAGAAGAAAAGAGTCATTGCAACTATGTACTAAGAACAAGAACCGTCCAGAGAGTTTTTGTGGGTCATCCTCGAGTGAAGGTAGCTTGCCTCCAGTCACTTGATTCATTTTGCTTACGCCAGAAGTATTGCTGCTAAAGATTAGCCATATATCAACAAGTCCTTGTTATCATGCAAGCATACCTTGTGTTGCTTTCGGCAGCTCCGAAGACCTGGCTTCCTGAGATCATGCACCACAGCTTCTCGTCGCATCGTGTCATCATCATAGTCGGGAACATAGTAGTATTCACTCTCGAGCGGCTTCCCTGCAGCATCCTTCCCTTCCCTTGCGACCTTTCCAATACACTTCGTGGTGTCAATGATGACACGAATCTCATCCCGTGTAGGTCCTTCCCTTGAATGTGTATCCCGCCTCCAAAGAGGGTGGGAGGTTATTCAAAATTGTCGAGAAGGGCGTTGAAGAAAGGCGAGAAAAGGCCAGTTGATTGATGGCATGATTCTGAACTCTCTCAAAGCTCTCATCAAGTGGCCTGCTTAGTGCAAGATCTACCCTCTCGGCCGGCTTAGCTAATTGTCTAGGAGAGTGAGCAGGGCGAAGCGGTTCAGCATGGTGCTGGTTACGAGGACGCGACGGGCGCAGTGGTGACCCATCAGCAGTGAAAGAAGCCATGCGGGGCAAGATATTGTCTCCAAAAGGCCCAAAAGAATGAACGATGGGGTCATTCTCTTCATCGTGGTCCGACAAATCATCAGGCTTACTGAGATCACTCAGGTCACTCGACTGCGAGCTCTGCAAAAGGTCCCCTTCACTGGAGGTAGACTTAAGGGTCACTTCAGACAGCAAAGCATCTCCTGAGCTTTTACGGCGGACGGGAGACGGTTCGTCCTCATAAACAACCACGGCGTTTCTTGCACGTGTTGGAGTGTACAGTGGCGAGGATGGTGGAATTAGTGACTTGATTGCAGGAGAAGGCGAGACAGGGGAAGCCAAGCGCTGGCGTTCCACGTTAGGACTGTCGTGCAAGCTTCGACGAGACTGCCTGTTGCGTCGTGGGGTAGCCTCTTCCCAGGTCTGCTCCGAATCGGTAGATGCGTAGTCCTTTCGTTCATTTCGCGGCCATTGGACCAAAACACGTGCATCATGGACATCAATCATGATATCTGCATCTTTGATATCGGACGTGAAAGTCTTTCCCTTGGCCAAGTCATACGTTTTCCCCTGGCAATGAAGCTTGATTCCGTTCCAACCCATGCACATTATCTCAACTCTATCACGATCGAAGGGATTAGGTGCAGGCTTATAGGTAGCCTTGACGTGAACCCTCGAAATCATTCGGTTGGCAGCGAGTTGATGATGGCAAGATGCACTGGATCTGCCCATGAGAAGAGGCTCCCCAGTCTCCGGGAGCATCATGGTCGGTACAGCAGACAGAGGAGTTCGTTCGGAATTTGATGATGTCAAGGGTCGACGCGACGCCATTCGAGGGGGTGAGGAGGACATGATATGGGTCGATGACGTCGGAACAGGAGTTGGATATGTTGACACAATCCCATGATCATCGCGAGCTACACGCTTCTGGGGTCGAGGAAGAGAAGGCGAAGAACTCAATGGCTCAAAGGCAGGTAACAAGGTCGCTGGACGCTTCACACCTGCCACAGAAGCAGTCGAACTGCTCCTTGGAGGAGAAGACTCCATGATGTGAGAGGCGTCTCCCAGATAGTTAGCAAGTTTTCAATAACCTTGAATAAGTCTAAGGTGGACAAAATTCAATTCGAGGTCGCGTCGAGGCCGGGTAGGGGCTATTTCTATAGAGGACGAGTCGAGAGACAAGAAAGGCAGGTAGAAAAAGAAGAGATGAATGAGACGTGTAACCGCAAGAGATTGGACGTCAATTCTTCTCCCAGAACGAAGTCAGGTGGTTGGGAGGCACAGAATTGGCCTACAAAAGAATGAAGAGCATTAAAGAAAAGGGTGAGTGAGGGATAGTGTGTGGTGGAATGCCTACCGGAACGGAGCGTCTCTCGTCCAGCGCGGAAATGCACGCTTACAGCCCGAGACGCGTTCGATAGGCGCCGGCGAGGGTCTGGGAGCTCCACCACGGACGTCGCGCAGCCTCAGAGTCTGGCCATTTTGAACTCTGTTTTGCACTGCATCTCTATGCCGGATTTTTCAGACAAGCAAATCTCAAAATTGGACAGGAGACGATTCCAGCAAACACCTCATGAGCTATAGCTCTCTGGACCCCCGTCGTTTTCTAGATAGATGCCCGAGGCAGAAAGGCGCGTCCCCGCGTCTAGAGTCATGTGCTCCGCGTTCTTCGGGTCCAGTCCCGTGACTCGCGCCAAATCACGTGGTTAACACCTGCAGTGACTTTTGCCGAGAATAGCAAAGGCCATGTGCAGCTTGCAGGGTTTTCGCCCATCTCATTGGACGGCACGATGCACGGTGGTGGTGACAGGACCTTGGCCGGTGGAGTATGAGGCTACTACTACGATTGCAAAATACGTACAGAAGAATTTGAAGGAGGGGTTCCGCGGGATAAAAAAACTGGTTCAATCAATCACCTATGGCGTAATTCGCAATGTTGCAAGCCTTGGACCTTTTCATGGGCATTCCCTTTCCAAGATATTCCCTCACGGTAAAGCGTAGACCCTACATACGCGTCTCGCCTGCAACGCTAAAGGGGAAAACTTATCTTACTACTCGGTACTATCATTACTTGAAACATATGTAACGGAGTCGTGCCCTAAGTATGCACGCGACTGACTCGGTACGAATATCTTGATAATCACGACGCCCAGCCTTCGCGTTTCCATGCTGCAATTCAAACTGGAAGTGCTCACCGACCGTCACAACAGCCCACTTAAATTAGAGATAAAACAGATAAAGGTGTACTTCAAAATGGAGCAAATTACAAGAGCAGAAGTTAAATTGGACTGCAGTTGTTTACAGCAAAGTTTCACAAATGTGTGGCCATCGTCGATTCGAGGAATCGAGACAGCGTGCCAAGTACATTTCGCCCTCCTCCCTGCCATCGTGCATGGTTCTCCCCTACATCCTTCTCATCGAACACAGTAATCCCTAGCCAAAGGAGTAGAATTCAATAACAGCAAGCGAAACCAAGTGATGAAGGGCTTGCACTGTAGAGGTCATTTCTTATGTTAGTCTGGACCACGCTACTCCGTACAGTGCTCAGAGAGTCCGTCTGGAATATTCAAAGATTTATGGTACATACTCCGTGATTTCAGCCAGTCTACGCCACGAAAACTCCGCTATTTTATGGAATCATCATAATGAAAATGTTAACCATTCTGGCGTAATAAGCATGTACAAATATAAAAACCACCATCAGTTACTTGGCACTAGAGAAAGAAATATCTAACCACAATCGTCTCTACCAAGTGGTAAAGGCGGTAAAGCGTGACAAGAAAGAGCAACTCCTAAGTCACATAATGTAATATACTAAGATACACAGAAGAAAGCAAGCAACTGGACTTCAGATCATGAAGACGAACATGGCATGAAAGGAGCCGGCGATCTATTTACCCAGGCCAGTCGAGCCGGTTGATGGTGGCCAAGTCACGTAGCGGATGTGCCCGTTTGCAGCGATGCAGCATCGTCAGGGTATTTAATAGAAGACGAAGGTAGCTTCGCCAGACATAACTTCAACCTGTCATTGGATAACCATGTGAGTGAGGATACCTCGAGTGGAAAGATAAGGAACGGGATCTTACAGTGCAACCAGAGTCATTGCTGCCGGTTTCAGAGGTGAACTTGCCGTTCTCGTATTTACAAGATCCGCTGAGGTTGTCACCCTGGATCTTAATGTTGAAGTCAAGCTTCTCGGAGGTAGTGGGGCTGTTCTGGAAAATAGAAAGCCACTTGCCATTGTTCTCACCGACACCAAGGTTAATGGGAGCCCAGTTACCAATAGGCTTGGAGCCGTCACCCCACTGGCAGCCCTCCTTCGTGCTGGTACCCTTGGGGTTGACATAGTACTGAGCGGAGGTAACCTTGCCCTGCCACTTGAAGTAGGTGTTGCCGTCAGGGCAAGTCAGGGGCTGAAGCTCATTGTCGCCAAGGGCGAGAGGGATGGTCTCAGCTTCGGTACCTAGACGCAACGATGAGAAATGATTCCTATACCGCCATGCCTTCATGAATAAGCTTACCAGGGTAGTCAGTACGGCAAATGGCAATCTCCTCGCCGAGGTTGTTCTGAGCATGAACACCGCCAACACCCTCAATGCAAAGCTTCTTGGACAGGGTGGGGTTAGTAAGGTAGAGCTTGCCAGCCTTACATTCGAGGCCACCAACGGACTGGCCGGTGGCGCCCTGAGTGGAGGGCCACTGAGACTTCTGATAACCAGCGGGACAAGCGTACGAGCACATGGCTCCAGAAGTACATTTGTCACCAGTAACAGCAGTGACAATGTCGCTCACAAACTTGCCAGCGAGGCTGACATACTGAATACCAGACCAGCCACCGAGATCCAGGTAGTCAAGAGCGACGGCACCATAGTCAGATGGGAAAGTACCGCAGTCAATCTCACCATCGGGGAAGTCGGAATCCACGCCCTTAGCACCAGAGCTGCTCGACTTCGTGGGGGTGCTCGAGGAAGCAGCGGACGAAGAGGTTGCAGAGGTGCTGGAGGACGAAGCTGGAGTGGCGGAGGAGGAAGTCTCCACGAACTGAGCTGGAGCTTCGGTGGGCACAGCAGCCGCGGTAGAGGAAGAGGATGAGGCAGGAGCGCTAGACTGGCAGGCATCAACGGCGGGTTGACCGTCTTTGTACTTGAGCTCTCCCTTTCGGATACCAGTGCACACAAACTCGCTGGAGACCACCTGGCCTTGATATTCGTACTGGACAACAGTGGCGCCGCCGGCCTCGACGAGCTGAGTCTCAACGGTACGCTTGTGGTGATGACGGTGGGCGTTGTGATGCTGACCGGCCACGAGGGACCCAGCCGTCGCTAAGGTAAGAGCAACAGAGTTGAACTTCATCGCGTTTGTGTCAAGTCGGAAGTTCAACCACAAAGTCCTTCAATAGTTGGTTTCAGGTTTGGACTATTTCGATCAAGAACACTAGTTAGCTTGCGCATATCCATGAGCCAATTGCCGAGTCACATGTGAACAAATCGCGCGTCATGTCGTTGATCCACGCATGCTGCCATACAACATAGAGATGTTGACGACGGCAGTAGGTCAGAATGCGACATTGGTAGCACAGCCCATAGCCGCCAAACGTTCCGAGCACCATGGCGAACAATGACAATAGTCCCAGGCGAGAAGCAAGTTGGAGGGATTGCCCATCAATTTCTCATGATGAGGATACATACCTCAACGATACAGCAAAACCCGGTGCGCGCCTCGATCACGGTCTGTACAGAAGTCGAAGTTGCAGAAGTGCTGTGGCTGTAGATCTTATAGAGGCACGAAGTGAATTATGAGAGTGTCCAAGGAGCGAATCACGGACGAGGTTTCCAAATGAGTGTGCGAGAGAGAAACAAGTCTCTCTGGTCGGATGGGAAACTTCAACAGGTCAACAGGCGAAAGCGGAAGAAATGAAACGCTCTGGGGGAGGAGGAGTAAAATGTGGAGGATCGCGAGGAGCAGAGGGAGTTGGGAGGGAGATGAAAAGAGAGAATTAAACTTCGTCGGTCAGTCGCCCAGGGGCTAAAAAGAGGGACAAGACGTGCAGACCCTTCCAGGGGGAACTAAACTAAACTAAAGAGAGTGTGTGTGTGCGCGTGTGGCACTGTCAGTGATGGGCAGACAGACAAAGAGAGAGAGGCAATAGTCACCATAATAATAATAGGGGTTCCACTTCCAAGACTCATGACACTGTATTTAGAGTTGTTGTTTAGGAGTGTTACCGTACCGTACGTACCATACCGTCCTGATATAGGTACGCATCTACAGTCGAACCGGCCTCCCACAACATGTAGAGTGGATATACGAGGAATAGGGGGGTGGAAACACCACAGGAATTGGCCCAAGGCATCATCCACGGCCATCATCAGAGCCTCTGAGAATGGCGGCCTTTGCAAGTGGGGGACGCCGAGGAAGACGTGTCCACAGCCGCCTAGAATTGTGTTGGTTACTTGACTAATTGACTAAACTCCAACGAATTTTCAGTACCTGACTAGTATTGTCCATTTCAATACCTCTCTCCTCCCTAGAACTTGTCTGGAACCTCTCCAATACCACATCAAAAGGCCGCCATGCAAAATCGTGGTTCATTTGTCCTTTTTTTTCCCCCCTTAGACCTTCCTTTTCATGTTTAGGAGTTTCCTGTTCCTGAATGCACTGTTTGGCGGTTGCCGAAATTACTCTGGGCCCGGTCTAGCCAATCAGCACGGTCACAGAGGCATTGGCTGGTGGAAAATTGACTTTCCCCTCAGTCAGGTACACCAATCACCTGCGAGCAGAGGTCCCGAACGATTGCCACAAAATTCGAACACCCAGGGAATGTCTCATGTCCGATCGTTATGTTTGGTTGCATTCGGGGGCCGCCGGTATTATTAGCACTTCCTGAAGGAGCCCCTCAAGGCTGAGGTACCTTTTTACCTATCGACCTTCCATGGTTAGGAAGAAGAAGAAGAGCACCGAATATGGAGTGTTATCTATTTTGCTAATTCTTTTTCCATTATTCATTATTCATTATTAACCAATGAGTCACCCCAAAAGGACGCAAC